ATATAGCTGCAGGCTGTCACCAGCACGTGGCAATTGATCTAGATCAAGACGACTTCCATTGCATGTCACGAGATAGGATATCGTAGGCACAATCAACACTCACCATCTCCCTTGGACAACGCGCTATCATTGGTGTGTCGTATCGGGCCGACTCTGATGACGAGCGTATACCTACCCTGAACTTGCTTGCGACCTGCTTCTGCAATTAATATTAGCATCCCGGATAGAATAAAAGCAGAAGATATGATATTTGTAAATTTTTAGATGTTATAATAAGTTCTCTATTTATCACTACTGAAACATCCCTCTACCATATCTCGATGAAATCGCAAGGGGAACAACAGTGAAGAGTCAGGCGGCCTAAATGGCGGGTATGTAATGTAGGAAAGGGCAAAAAGGCCTTTGAGGCTGTGGGCAAGATTTATCCTTCGAAATATTGAGCAAAAAATACATATGTTACTAGAACCGCGATGGAGTATCTCCATTTGGATTCTATTAAACACCAGCATCTACGAGACATGTGTTGAATTCTCGTAAAACCCTGGTAGTTTATAACCGAGGTCCGCGAATTTCAGCCGCTGAAAAACCCACATAATGACCGCTAATAGGCCAGTGGACCAAAACATCCGAAAGGTCAAGACCTCTCCTTTCTAGGTTTAGGGGCAGATCACACAGAGATAATCGAGATAATTCAAAGGGCAATTAAGAACAGCTCTGGTCTTTGAGCCAAGCTAGACAATGATAAGAGGCTGAGTGTTTTGAGTTGCTCCGGGTTTGAGATTATTTGTATTCTACAATTCACCTCGTTTGCATTTTCGATTATGCGTTCTCAACAGAGCTGTGACTCAGTCTGCACCATTGTCAATGCTCGGGCACAGCAGCACTGAAGCCGGTTAATCCGATTGATTAGTATCTGTCAACCTGGAGCAGGCTGAACACAAAAACATCGTCGCAGGAGTTCATATATATAATCTTTTCGCAGCATCTACAGTGCCAATCGATTAAAATGCATGACAAAGTCAACAAATTCTGCCCCTTGCGCTAAGTGAAAAAGATCTCCAATTGAGCTTAGATCAGATTGATAACCCACTACCCCAACCAATCAAACACCCGCCCACCATTCTCCAGCATCCGGTATCGGCAGAATTTCCTCACCAAGTGGAATTCACTCTGGAGCTACGAGAAGAAATTACTCTACAAAACCCCAATACAGCACAATTATCTGACTTGTATCGTAAACATGCTCCGCTTCTGTAGTCTTGGCAGTTGGGAATCGGAGGGATCACTGCTGAAAAGGAGAAAATTTCACATCGTGACAAAATGCACATCTCGGGGTTACTTTCCTTCTGCTCCTTACTATCTGGAAGGTGAACACGAGCTCGATTATCTGATCAATCGTCACCATGCTTGGTATTGAAAAAGTTGATGAACAAGAGGGTCAAGTCTTTGCTGGTGAAGTTCATGAAGACCCTGGTCATGCTCATGATGCTGTTTTCGGAAGACTCACAAATGACGGGCCAAATTACCGCAATGTGAGTTTACATTTCCAACTTGACCTCCATTTTATTAATTATATGTGTAGGTCGGTTGGGTGGGCACCGCAGGTCTGATGATGAAAACGCAGCTTGGCCTTGGAATCTTGTCCATCCCATCTGTCTTCGACACGCTGGGAATGATCCCTGGCCTCATCTGTCTCTGCGTTATAGCTGCAATTACGACGTGGTCAGATTACATAGTCGGCACTTTCAAGCTTCGGCATCGTGAAGTCTATGGCATTGATGATGCAGGTGGCTTGATGTTTGGTCGTGCTGGGCAGGAAATCTTTGGTTTTGCTTTTGGTCTTTGTACGTCGAAAGCCGCTCGTTTTTGAACACTGCAGTGATTGAACTTCGGCTGACGCATGGGGATATAGACTGGACATTTGTCTGCGGGTCAGCGATGCTAAGCGTGTCGATTGGCTTCAATGCCGTTTCTGATCACGGAACTTGTACTGCCGTCTTTGTCGCCGTTGCAGCTATCACTGGTTTCATCTTCGCCAGCATCCGAACCCTCGGGAAGCTAAGTTGGCTCGCTTGGCTGGGGTTGATCTGTGTCATCTCTTCAGGTTAGCACATGCCCGCACCTCTGTCTTGAGAACACCATGCTAAAGTCCCAAACACAGTCATCATCCTAACAATTGCCGTGGGTATACAAGATCGACCTGCAGCTGCACCTAGAGACGCAGTTTGGGTATCAGACTACGAGCTCTTCAAGAAGCCAAGCTTCACCAACGCCATGTCGGCTATCTGTGCATTGATCTTCGCCTATGCAGGTACCCCAGCCTTTTTCAGCATTGCCGCAGAAATGAGGGACCCTAGACACTATACGAGATCTTTGATCCTGTGCCAGACGGTCATTAGTGCCTGCTATATCGCGATCGGTTGTGTGGTGTACTATTTCTGTGGCTCGTATGTTGCTTCACCAGCGCTTGGATCTGCAGGTGTCTTGATCAAGAGAGTCAGCTATGGAATTGCACTTCCTGGACTAATAGTCACTACTATGTTGACTTGCCATGTGAGCACTTACCTAACTAGTCAGTGGGATGTTGCTAAAATGTAGATGTTCTAGCTGGCGAGTAAACATGTCTTCGTGCGTGTTTTACGAGGCTCCAAGCATCTCGCGGCCAATACCTTCACCCATTGGGCATCTTGGATAGGATGTACTTTTGGCATCACCGTCGTCGCATATGTGATAGCCAGCGGAATCCCAATCTTTGGTGGGCTGGTTTCGCTTATCGGGGCATTGCTTGCAACGTCACTCTCATTCCAGCCAATGGGATGTATGTGGCTCTACGATAACTGGAAGCTTGGGAAGCAGGACCACTCCATCTCTTGGTCCTTCGGAGTGCTCTGGAGCGTCACCATCATCGTCTTGGGGACTTTCCTGACCATTGCTGGGACATATGCTTCCGTGGTTGACATTATAGCCTCATACAGAGTGTCCGGGGGTTCAGCAGCCTGGTCGTGTGCTGACAACTCGGGCTCTTCGTAGTTGGGCATGGGCATGGGTAAGAATCGAGTTGCAGCGCCGTTGACATGCTACCAACATGTCGGAGCGGAATGCAGATAATTGCGGGCCGTTGGAGTTGGCATTTTTTGTTTAACTACACGATTCGCGGTATTGTTCTGCCCTGATTTAATATAAAACGACTTTTGCGGATCGCGGAATGCAGCTCTTGAATTCTAGAAAATGATATACCTCTATTATAGTATTTAAAAGTCTGCGGTTATAATCCATAACCCAACTGGACGCGATCTGAGTAAAGGACAATGGAAGGTTATAGCCGACGCAAAGGCGTCCTTGCACTCTTCGGTAATACTTAGTAAAAAGACCAGAAACCGTCAAGGGAAGCTGAGTTCCGAGGTGATGATAGTCCCCGCACAATATCTGCTCCTCTATACGGGTTCCGATTTCTATGACCCTGATAAGGCTCGCAGTGCTTGGTTCGGCAGCCGCGCATAATGCGACCATGCCAGCGTAGGCATCTTCGTGAAGGTGGAACTCCTTCTGCGTCTTGGATAAACTTTCGGTGAATAAAATCCTAATTTAAGGTATCTACCTTCCTGTTCTTTGTTTAACGTCGGCCGCAAAGGTGGAGTAAAAAGTTCACAACACAATGAGTAAGCATATATCAGGGATGTTGAACAGTTCTTTCTCCACTTTTGCAGCCAATACTGTAAAGAAACTGTCGTATAAGAGTAAATAACCCTGACCTGATTTATTACTAAGGTTAGTAATACGCATTATGAAAGTTAGCAACATACAGTTCAACAGCATGTCTGTTTGGACTAATACCAAACAATCTAGCCTTGCATTTTTAAACATAAGATGTATTTCAGCTATACGAGAATAAAAGTAAATTAAGGGTTTTAATAAACTATAAATGCTAGCTGGAAGCTCTGTGGAAAACGCGAAGGGTTGCCTCTGTTTTAACAAGACCCCATTAACACAAATCAAACTTGCTGTTCTTTACACAAATTACAACAAAACTAGAACTTCCACGATGAAGGGTCTTTACGCTGCGCTCCTTGCTTTTACTGCCGTTCAGGCTACACCAACTGGCAACAGCGACTCGAAAGCACTCAATGCCCGGGCAGTCGACCTCAAGGTTCAGTACTACAAGGACGGCGGCTGCTCAGACTACGCTGTATCGATTTGGCCCGGTACTTCAAACAGCTGTTATGGATACAGCTACAGCAACACGAACAGCGCAAACATTGTTACCTGCGGTGGTAGGGGTGTTGCTTGCACCTGCTACATGTTTGAGCAGGATAACTGTAAAGGAAGCTCTGTCCGGACAGTTGCTCTATCAGGATCCGGTTCTGCTTGCGTCAGGTAATATTCCCTTTGACGTTTTTACAATCTCATCAGTATTAAATCTACTTAACAGCAACTGGGGTAAGGGCTACAGGTCCATGAAATGCTACACTACCCAGATAGCCTAGTTGCAAAGAGGATTTAGCCAGCGCCCTCCTCTAAGCGCTCATCCCATCTTGCTCTTATAAGGATAGCATGAGCGGAGGGTGTGATGGAATTGTTATGTAGATGTGTTTTTTGCAGTTGAGACTTATGGCTGAGAGCCTAGATCAGCAGAAAGATCCATTAAATTATGTATGTCGCTACTTTACGAAATACACCTGCGATTTACATCTAGGTACGACCTCAAACCTGCGTTGTACATGCTTTCGTCTTGCCTCACTGAGTATACATCTAGACATTACCATGAGCCACGATCGACGTATTGGTATATAGTATACTACATATATATCCTTGCCCCTTTGAGGCTGGGATATAATATTATAATGATAGTTCAATGCGAACTTATCACTAAAATCAAGATCCTTTAAAGTGCTGTATGATCAAGTTGGTATGTTTGAGTACATGAGACCAACAATGGACGAAGCTGCCCTACACATTGATGCTGACGAACTGAGGACCAGAAACATACTTGCAATCATATTTCACAGGAAGCTATCTAGCATCTGGCTAAAATCCAGTTTGGCAAGGTCTATACTTGGGTTTAAAGTACCTTGCACCAATGCATCGCTTGTCCCAGGACTAAGCGAAGTGCCCCATAGACCATCGTCATTCTCAGCAGCAGTAAGAAAATCATCGAGGCTGAGAGTCATCTCCATTCCATCGAGAATGCCAAAGCCACCAGCTCTATCAGGCATGATGCCGTTGTTGAGCCAGGCCTCACTGGGTTGAGGTGACTCCCTTGATGTATTCGGAGTAGCGAGTATAATAGGACTGGGCATACGGCCTGTGTGACGAGGGGTGGGCTGGGGCGTAGCTTGAGCCGTACGTCCCTCTTGATTTGGTGCGGAAATACCGAGCCGAACACCCGCTTGTTGTAAACCGCGGATCATCTTCCACAGACGTCTTGAGACATACGACCTCTTGCTGAAGCCCCGGACCAGATCGAGAGCTGTATTGAACTCCTGTCGTACGGTATCTCGATACACAGTAGGCTCGAGAGCAACGGCCAAGAAGATAACACCAAGAGCAGATATCAGAAAGTGATTAAAACAAACTTGTTGTGTTTGATAGATATCAGTAGTTTGGTTAAGATGATGAAGCTTCTGAATCATGTCCTTTGCGATGCTGACCAGCATTTTGACCTGCGAGGTATCCCTTGCGGGTCGAGGAACAGCATGCAGCGCGGATTGGTGTAAAAGGATCTTCATCTGACAAGCTCTCAGATATAGAAGGATCTGTAAGCGATGATGCCCTCGACCGAGAGCAGGGGCTCCATCTTCAGGGAGTTTAAGTATTGCGGGTATCTCTTTGTACCAACGCTCCACGCTGTAATGGAGAAACTCAATCTCGTCTCTGGGGACGTTGGATGCTGTGCTACCCGCGTTGTAGAGTGTCGCCCAAACTTTGGCGCCAATCCGGTTATACGCTACCATGGCGTGAAGATAGGGGACCTCGTCATCCTGAGGGAGTTAGTAAAGGAGCGAAGAGTGTCCATTGATGTGATGTCGGCTGTGACTTACTGGCCACGGGATGTTTGAATCGATGTCATTGCTTTGGATGATAAACGGAAGCCCAGCACCAAAGCTCCATCGTCTGTCTAGTGTATGTACACTCCAAAACATTCTAATGGCCATTTTTCTTTCGAAAGGCTCCTTGAACATGTTAGTATACGTGGTTGCTTGATGTAGCCCAAGTTCGAGACATGAGCGCGCAGGAATTCCGATAAGTCGCCATGCCTGGAGATCGTCACCGGCGAGAAAAGAATGGATGGCCTAGATGATAGTTAGTATTGTGAGAAAAAGAACGGTAGTTTGACCTTCCATTAAAGTGAAAAGGTGTATTGATTGAAGCGATGGAGACTCCCAAATTTTACTTGAGATCCTTTCTTGCGCTTTGGCAAACAAGGCATTGCCAAGTCCACTTGAACCACTTGTTTCAATAGTCAGTGCCGATGAGAGGGCAAGTCGCAAGATGTCAATTTCGTCAGCAGTAATAAGTGGCGGTCCAGGAAGTGAAGCAAAGGCGAACCCAGATCGAGAACCAGCTTCCATGGCATCATAAAGCTTGTGTGCGTTATCGACCAGCCCTGATAGTGTCAAGAAGGGATACGAGTTTCCGATTTCTTCTTCGTAAACGTGACATAACCGCAAGGCTTCCTGTTTGTCGATGAGCCAGAGCGGATCAATGGTTGACTTGGTGAAGTTCCATGAGTCAGGCGCTATTAGGGGTCCATCTAGGAGCGGTTCGGATATATTGGCATGGTCGCAAGACTCAGAATCCCCAGCCCTGGAGCCTTGGGCTTCAAGATGCTGTCTGGCGAGCTTCAGGTTGAAGGTATAGTTGACGGTGGGTTGGCGTGGCTGACCAGTCGATGACGGCGTGATTGTCGGAGGTGTCGTATGTGCATGTATTGCCAGATCAGTTTGGTCCTCCTGAGCAGCTGTCGACAGTGCATGACGCGAAAGCGGTCGTCCCACAAAGGCCTGTGACGCGGACTCTAGCCCTTGTCCGGGGCTCACGACTGTTACAACGCTGGTACGGCGGTCCTTTCGCAACTCTTGAAGGTTGTCTTGGAGCTGGGCAACCTGCTGACTTAACGATCTAATAACCTTGGTGGACCTGATACGTCAGTTTCCGAAACCTGATATGCACGGGTACGGATGAGGAGGAAGACATACGAATCTGACTGGCTTGTCGAGGTGGAGGGTGCATAAATGCCTGTACTTATGTCAGAGATTGTGCAGTATTCATCTTTACCAGTCACTTACAGTTGAGAGAATGCTGGACACATCGCGCGCATGGGTTCTGCCCATTGCATTTGCTTTTACGTCTTTTACATTCATTGCTACAATCAGAGGTTAATCGAGACGACCATGTTGGTGACTGATACACCAAAACTGTCTTACCAAGCTTTGGAGATGTACTTGCCCCGTTTAGACTTGGGCTTCTGTGCGCGTTGAGGCTGTGATCCTCTCGATGTGTTATTGTTGCCCTGAGAATGAGAAGAGGTCTGGACTTGGGTTGCATCAACTTGATCATCTCGATCATTATTATCGTTGCTTAATGTCCCATTACCTGTGACCTCCCCTGAAGTCTCGCCATTATGGCCTCTTACTACTGACCCCGTTTCCTGGTTGGGTGGGGTCTGAACGGTCGACATGGCGAAATTCGGTGATGTCTTTGTGAAATGGTACGATAAATGGCGGTAGCGGAAATGGAAGATAATTCCGGGGGCTGTTTGATCTCTTAAGGGAATGATCGGAATTGGATGACTAAGTGCGGGGTACACTAACTTAGCTACGGTCCCAAATCTGCTAGTCAAGATAGGTTGATAGGCGAGATAGTGGCGTCCATCGTCACCGTATAGTTTTGTATTCTGAGGTCTACTGTGGCATTTCCATAACGATTCTGCCCTTCACCTGGCCTTTCTCTAATTCCCTTGACATTATATCAATCTGATCAAACGGAACAACTGTAATCAAAGGCTTCACTTCGCCCCGAGCTGCAAGTTGAAACAGCTCTTGCATTTCAGGAAGAGTGCCAACAGCACTGCCGATGAGCCTAAGGCCTGGCAGGTCGTCAGTTCGAGTTGGTTTGGTAAAGAAAAGAAAAGGATGACTTGCCTCGACGGACCATGTCCAGCGGCGAAATGGGGAGGTTTTGTGGATTGACGCCAATACAAACTACGGTCCCTGCGTTCCGCACACATTGAGCTGCTTGCTGGTAGGCAGCGATGGATCCTGCTGTGCAGATTACACCGTGAACTCCTAGAGATGTGAGTCTTGTGACTTCTGTTGGTACCTGTAAGAGGTTCAGTATTTCTAGTATTTCCGAAACAAGCGGTCAGCGATGACTTACATCTTGTGTTACAAAGTCGATAAAGTGAGCAGCCCCAAACTCAAGACACATCTTCCTCTTGTCTTCGCCACTATAGAAAAGTCATTAGCCAGTTCAGCTATAATTATTAAGCTAAAGGTAACGTACGTATCAACAGCAATAACGCGATAGCCTTGCGCTCTAGCAATCTGCACTCCCCTAGAGTGTCAGGATTAGTGAGAATAAACGCACAAAAGTGAATGCGACGCACAGGTGTCCCAATCCACCACCTGCACCAGGGATCAGCAGCCAATTGCCAGTCTGTAAGTTGCATTTCCTGATAGCCGAGTACATAGAGATACCAGCTATGAGATCGTTAGTTATCTTTGTTTACGGACAGCTATTGCGGACCGTCTCACGTACCACAGAGTAAGGGTGCAGCGATCTGACTCTGCAAGTTGTCAGGCAATGGATGTACGAAGCCAGCGTCAACGGCTATGTATTCTAGACATGTCTTCAGAAGTCAAATTCCAAAGCATGTGATAGTTTCTTCTTACGCTGGAAAGTGCCAGGGAGATCCTATAATGACGTAAGCGAAGCGTGCAAAACATGGAGCGAATAGGATTTACTCTGCCTAAGTTCTGTTGCTTTGGGCATGATGTATACTCAACATCGCAAACTTCGCACTCCATACAAGGGTGACTTAGCCACCTAGAAGGATAAGCTGAGGTGTTATCGTATACGTGCTATGAGTTGCTTACCCTAATCCTACTCTCTTGTTTATCATATGCGTGGTTGCTGCGGACCCGGCTGAAACAATAGTCAGTAAATACCCAAATCAGATATTCTGAAGTTATACCATACCTTTCACCACGATACCAACTCCCTCGTGGCCAACGATATCTGAGATCAGTGGCAGCGTGCCATAAACCCGATTGAGATCAGAATGACTAGCAAATGCCAAATTGAGTCACTGTCCTTCACAGCCTTTCATACCATGGAAGAATACTTACCATAGCCCTGAAACTAATAGTTTCACAAGGATTTGGGTTTGGGATAGATGAGGAACAGCCTGCCCATCCTGAATGATGAACTGGGCTTCTGGTCCAGGGTTCTGGACTCGTGCAACTGTTTGTGTTGTCGGGATATCTGTAGCATCCATAATGGTATGGGATTGAGATACTCGTCAAAGGTGCCATGAACGAATCTACGAACTAATAATCATTACAATAACATCGTTGTGTTAAGCTAGTATGATGCTACTGGATGATTGCACGGCGGAAAGTAAAAAGTGCGGAAACAACTTCCGCCCCCCCAATTTCTCTCTGGTTATACCTTACTCTAGATGCCATCAAGATGGGAACAAGTTACACAGGCCAAGGGCTAATTACTCCGTTGCCTCCGCATCTAAAGCTCCGAATTCATTGGCGAAGGATGAGGCTTGGGTCTTTGCAGGCCTAATCTGCATTGCGGAACCAGTTTCCGGATAACTTCCGCTCGCGAGGTTCATCCACATCCCGCTTTTCCGCTCAGAGAACGAGAACAAAACAAATCTAAGACTGGCATGGAATTTTGACAGGCCATAGTAGCCCGAGGCCCGCATTCGGTTCAGGCACCTGAGCAAATGACAGTGTATGATGCCTACCACATATTTTGGTTCCGTTATTCTGGGGTAATTATTCTGAAAAGTCCGGGGTTCTTACATACGGACATGGTATAAGAAAATTCGGCTCCATGGCAGACATAGCGACTTGTACTACTGTCACATCCTCTGTTATCTTTGGTCAAAATGTTTATCGTCGAGTTGTTCAAGGCCCTCTCTAATGAGTTTGCCTCCCGGCCATGTCAAACAGCTGTGACAACTGTGCTGGCGTCGTTCCTCGCTTACATTGTCATCAATGAGTACGTGGCAAGGAGCGCTAGGTTGGCCGCTTTCGATGGACCGAAGCGACTTCCCATAGTAGGGAACCTCCATCAATTGAGGTCGAATGCGGCAGAGAAGTATCGTCAGTGGGCAAAGACCTATGGGCCAGTATACCAGATTCAACTTGGCAACATTCCCATCCTCCTAGTCAACAGTGCTTCCGCTGCGAGGACAGTCTTTGGAACAAACTCATCAGCGACAGCGTCTCGTCCCGAATTCTACACATTCCACAAGGCACTTCTCCATCGCAAACTACTACTATATGGCATCCCCGGCTAATGCGATCTAGCTTGTGTCCAATACCGCAGGCACCACGATTGGTACCGCTCCATACAACGAATCTCTCAAACGAAGGAGAAAAGGAGCTGCTTCTGCTCTCAACCGACCGGCAGTCGAAACCTACATTCCCCATCTCGATCTCGAGACCAAGGATTTTATCGCCGAAGCCTACAAGTTCGGAAAAGCTGGAACGGTCGAGGTTGATCCCTTGCCCCTGGTCCAGCGGCTCAGTCTCTCACTGGCTTTAACACTGAACTGGGGAACACGCATGCCTAGTTCTGAGAGCGACCTACTCAAAGAGATCACCCACGTTGAGGTTGAGATCAGCCGGTTCCGAAGCACGACAGACAACTTACAAGACTATATCCCCCTTCTGCGCTTAAATCCCTTCTCGTTTGGGCACAAAAAGGCTGCCGAGTATCGTGGTCGTCGAGATGCATACCTGGGCATGCTGAACCGTGGTCTCGAAGAGCAGGTGAGCAAGGGAACACACAAGCCTTGCATCCAGGCAAATATCATGCTGGACCGAGAGGCAAAGCTCAACGACGTGGAGATGATGTCCATCAGCCTTACTATGCTGTCCGGTGGATTCGAGACTTTCTCAACGGTGACTACCTGGGCTATCGCCTACCTTGCAACTCATCCAGAGATCCAAGACAAGGCGTACAAGGCCATCACAGACTTACATGGCTCCGATTATCCGCTGTGCGATCCTAACGATGACCAGAAGTGTGACTATGTTCGCGCTCTTGTTCGGGAAAGTTTGAGGCAAGTAAAGGCCGCACCAAGGTAGTCTGAGCTAAATGTCTAACGTCTAAGCACAGGTACTTCACAGTTCTTCGCTTATCCCTCCCTCGTGCTACCAATAAAGACTTCTACTACGAGGGAAAGTTTGTACCAAAGGGAACAGTAGTGTTCCTAAACTCTTGGGCATGCAATATGGGTATGTTATGGCTTCTGTTGGTCAGCATAGACTAACACATCTAGATGATGAGCTTTGGGAGGATCCCGAGGTATTCCGTCCCGAGCGCTGGCTAGAGCATCCTGACCATCCCATGTTCACCTTTGGAGTGGGATACCGCATGTGTGCAGGCTCGTTGTTGGCAAATCGAGAGCTATATCTCACCTTCATGCGCATGATCGCTAGCTTTGAACTCTCTACGACGGACAAGATCGATACTAACCCGCTGACTGGGGTCGAGGACTTGACTAGTCTTGTGAGCACTCCGAGAAAGTATCGTGTCACTTTCAAGCCACGAAAAGATGCAGTCTTGAAGGCTGCACTTACACGGGGGGTTTAATGAATAAGCAGTGGGTTACGTGTCGTTGGAAAGTCCAGCTCTCCCAGCTCGCCTTCACTACTCTATGCAGGTATAGTGTATAGGTAGAAATTGGCAGTAGAATAAGTCAAAAGGTTACCTTGCATTCTCTATTTCGTCGTGTGCATAGTTCATAGTCTCTGGGGATTTCGGCCTGCAACTGTTAGCCGCTGAGGTAATAGTACCCTCCTTTCATGATAAAAGCTTTGACGTAGGCATTGGACATCTGTCTACGAGTGAAACTATACTTTTTCTTGACAAGCCGTGACAAATCGGTACCTAGAGACTGTAGGACGATGTTGAGTTTATTTTTCCCCCCCTTACCGTCAGCCTTATGAGGCTATTAAGCTTCTAACTTTATATACGAAGGCTTAAACAATGAGGCTCCTATAGTAAGCCCGTAGGAGAATAAGCCTTGACATGCAGAGAACCGGGCATAGATAAGCTTTTAGTAAATATTAGGTGGTTTATATTACAGTTCTGAGGATGTAAAGCGTTTTAGAACTCATAAATAGTCGGGCGTGCAACAGAAAGTAAACGACAAGCGGTATAAATTGCAACCCAGGCGATTCCCAAGTGTTTAATTAAGTATCAACACTACTGCTCAAACATCTCGGCGAACTGGCACTCACAAGGTGTATGTGAAGCCATCTGTATTCTCAATAATAAGCTTTCCCTGCCTCTGAAGCTGATTATTGCGCCGAAAGACAACGGTAGTAAAGCCTACAGAGATAAAAGTAAGACTTGCAGCGATCAGACAGGTGTAGAGCCCTGGTCTGAAAGAGTGCGTTAGTCCAAGATATGTACGCAGAGAGCGAAATTCTGATCAGGCTTACCTGTAGCCAGGCTTATCCTGACCTCGAAAGACAAGACTGGCGATAATACCACCAATGCCGCCCATTCCAACAATCAGTGCAGAACAAAAAGCACGACGCCACTGGCCAACAATGTTATTAGATTGGTATGTCAGTGTCAGTGGTAAACACGCATTAGCACCACCAACCACAAAGTAGGCTCCGATATAGCGCACTACGTTGTCATAATGGAAGCCTAGCAAGGATAGACCGATGATCTCAAGGATTGAGTTCAGCATGATAAACGGCCCTCGAAGCTTGTACTTATCCGATAACCAACTCTCTGTTAGTCCAAGTACGCCGCCGAATATGTAGCACTTGAGACCATTAGTCTGGGCTAAGGAAGCGAAAGGATTGGCATATAACTTACCGGGGCATTTAGTGTTTGAGCCTCTACAACAGAAAACCTAAGCCCATCTCTCAATACAATGGGGAGGAAATAAGCAACAGCATAGATGACCAGGGACGTCAGACCAAAGTTAATTGCCAAGATCCATACTTTCCAGTCAAGAGCATTCTCAAGGTACGGTCGTAGGGAGAATTCTGTAGAGTGAGCATCGCCTCTGTCTGCATCAATGCGACTGACCATGATATCAACCTCCTCAGCTGTTAGAAAGCGTTTTGTTCGGCGGGCATTCTCCGGAAAGTCTACAATGAAGATGTATCCAACGAACCCGAGCAAGGCCGTAACAACACCTTCCATGATAAAGATCCAGCGCCAGCCTTCATACCCTGCAAGTCCGTCCATTTGCTGAAGCTTGGAGATCATTAATACTTTAGTATCAGAAAGGTTTGCAATAGGGATCTTGAGAATACTTACCCCATACGCAAGGACACCCCCAAACCCGCCAAAAACGTTTCCAAATAGATAGAAAAAGGCAATTCTGATAGCTACTTCATGCCGGACATACCAGGTACTGATGAGAAAGACGGAGCTTGGGAAGAACCCTGCCTCCAGCAGACCTAAAAGTATTCTGAGGCCAGCAAGGTCCTGCCAGTGATGAGCAAAACCGAAGGCAAGCATGACAATGCCCCAGGCGATGCAAATCCCGGACAAAAACCATCGTGGGCCAATCTTGCGAGCCATAACGGTCATAATAGGCTGGAAAAGAATATAGGCTGGAAAGAAAAGAAGTACGATGATCGACTAGAAATTGAATAATTAGGTGATGATATAAGGCTGTGGATATGAAGGTAGCATACATAGTTCATACCGCCGAGGTCGATGTCTTCGCCCATACCTGCAACGACCCTATATTCGTCAGTGATAATCTACATCAGCGGTGGCTCAACTCACGCGTATGCAAGGTTCTGACGATCAATCTGGCAAACAGTATATAGAACAGCGATGATGATGCAAAGCCTCATGTCGACCTTGCGTCTGATTTTGCGAACCCGATCGTTGAGGTTGTTCATGGCGGCGGCTTCAACAGACCCGACAGCATATTCGACCTGTTCGCTCGCAGCATCTTCTGCCTGCTTCTCAGTGGAGGAGGCCATATTCAATGGCCTGTGGTATTGAAAAAAGAGGTGAGGTAGGCTTGGTCTTTCTTCTTGGACAGAAGTATGACATGTATGGGAAGCCGGACTGTGCCCAAATGAGGAGGATGAGCCAGTTTTATGTGTAAATCGTTATTTCCACAGCATTCAACCACCACCTACAAGCCAACTATCAGCCGGATTGCTATGAGTTCACACCAAGAGTGCTTATTATTGGGCGGACATAAATATCCTGTACGTGAGTCTAACCTGCATGACCAACAAGATCTACCCCGGATTTCAACCCTAGGCAACTCTCACATTGCCATTCTAATCCTAGGCAACCCCGCATCATGCGGAACCGGGACATCATTCCGTTTCATCGGAACCTCGATAGCGAACCTCGATATCGAGGTAACTCGAATATGCCTAGTGCCACTGAGAACCGCCGGAAAAGAGATTGAACTCTGATGAAATGACGGAAAGAGTTCCTATGATCTATTGTGGATACGAGGTGGTTTTTGCCAAGCATCCTGATTAGGGTATCTATCAATCCTTTTATGTACCCTGGACTGCCTACTGGATTGCCAAATTATGAGTAAGAGTGTTGTACAACTTCAATTTGTTCTTTGATATTACCCAATCCTAACGAGATGGCCCTGGATGCACGGACAATTGACGAGCTTGTGAGGCTCAATGCTGAGCGCAACAAGGACCATGTGGCAGTGATCGAGTCGCCTGCAGGTGATCAAGATCCTCAGTCATACACGTCCAAGCAAATCGATGACTTTGCATTTCATGTTGCATGTGTTTATTCTGAAAGATACAATTTGCGACCTCGGACCTCATCTCGTCAAGAGCCTAAAGTTGTAGCTTTGTGCGGTATCGGGGATTTTGAGTATCTCATCACTGCACTCGCTATCGCCAAGCTTGGTCATACTACTTTGTTTCTGTCTCCAAGACTGCCTCTTGAGAGCTGTGCTGGACTTCTAAAAGTCTCGAATACCGCTCTGCTTCTCGTTCAACAAGCCCAGCAACGTTTGGCGGATTATCTAAACAGCGATTCTCCTGATGTTGCAACTGGAGCTGTTGTGCCGATCACTCACGGCTGCAGCTCAGAGAGCGAGCCAAGCACCAATTTGACTGCAACTCTCGATATTGAAGCGGAGAGAAACACGGCAGTCTGGATCCTCCACTCAAGTGGCTCGACTGGTCTTCCCAAGCTGGTTCAAGTTCCCAACGGCGCTGCACTGCATCGCTATACGGCAAATCTCGGTAGTCTTGGACTCGACACGCTTACTACTGTACCACTCTATCACGCATTCGGAATGAGCAGCTTCTTTCGTTGCTTCATAAGCCAAAAGACCATCCAGCTTTACTCGAGACTCCCCATTACGACCAGTTGTCTCTTGCAAGTTACACATAATCGGACTTTCGGACTGTTTTCTGCTGTGCCCTTCACTATCAAGCTGTTAGCAGAGTCAGAAGAGGGTATGCGCTTTCTGCGTGGCTTCAATGTTATTACGACCGGTGGATCACCAATGCCGGAAGATCTTGGCAATGAGTTGGTCCGACAAGGGGTTCGGTTGGTGAGCGTCTATGGATCGTAAGTTTCATCTCTTTACTAGATCATCTTCTGTTTTTCACTAACTAGGCGCTCAGATCAGAGACCGGTACACTCCTGACTTCGCTGCGCCCAGCTGGTGACCATGAATGGAGTTGGCTACGAGTCCCTGAGGAAGACGGCCATCTTCTCCGGTTTGAACACCGAGGATCTGGCACTTACGAGCTGATCTGCACCAAGGAATGGTCGATGCTGGCGGATTCAAACCAGGAAGACGGTTCATGGAGAACTAAGGACTTGTTTACCAAGCATCCAGCCATTCCTGGTGCATTCAAGTACGTCGGAAGATTGGATGATATCTTGGTGCTTGAGAATGGTGAAAAGTTCAATCCAATCTCTGTCGAGAGTGAAATCTCAAGCTCCCCGCTAATAGATGGATGCATCATCTTTGGTACAGGGAAGCCAGCAGCCGGTATCGCTGTGATCCCTTGCGAGGTAGCAGACCACCTGACCAAGGACGAGTTCCGGCTCTTACTGAGGCGCACTATCGATAAGGCTCAGGCCTCGTTACCCATGTATGGCCGAATCACGGAGGACATGGTTCTTTTGTTACCTAAAGACTCAGTTGCTCCCCGGACGGACAAAGGAACCATTATACGGAGCAAGTTCCTAAAGGCCTATGAACAGCAGATCCAGGCCATTTATGAGAGACAGGATGCGGCTGTTGAGTCCAGACAGTACACAAAAGATGAGTTGTTCAAGTTCTTGTCAGAGCAGCTCATAAGAGTTTTACACTTGTCTCCAGGGGTGGAACCCGGCCACAACCAAGACTTCTCAACTTTTGGTCTGGACTCTTTGCGAGCGATGCAGCTTCGCAGCGCCATAATGAAGCACGTTGACCTCGCTGGAAACAAACTTGTTATCAACGTGGTATTCGACTTTCCAACAATTGAATCACTGGCCCTGGAGATATCGAGGGTTAGCTCTGGTGCAGAGGCCACCAGTCTTGACGCCAAGGACGAACAGGACGCGGCAAATATGCTACAGCGATATGCGAACTTCAGCCCCCAAACAAGAGAACCACGCAGCGGACGCAACCTGAGCCAAAATATTGTACGTAAAGTTAACCTTGTGATCGATTGGATTATATTACGACTACTTACTCTGCAACAGGTCCTGACCGGAGCGACTGGCTCCCTTGGGGCACATCTACTGGACAAGCTGGCCCTCTCTTCATCTGTCCACACTGTATACTGTCTCGTAAGAGCAGCTTCCAATGCTGATGCGCAGCAGCGAGTCGAGAAATCACTGGAAGAGAGAAACTTGAGAGCAAACTTTCCAGAAGAGCTGCCGCAAAAGATAACTTGCTTGGCGTCTGATCTCTCAGATATATACTTGGGTCTCGGAGAGAACGTATTTCGCTCCATCGCTAGAGACGTTGATACAGTCTATCACTGTGGATGGACCGTCAACTTCAATCAGCGTTTAAGCACATTCGAGAACTCATGTATAGCAGGCGTTCGCCATCTGATAGATCTCTGTTTGGCCGACTCCGGTTCAGACGCACCGCGTTTCGTCATGTTTAGTTCCATTGGCACGATCATGGGTACTTCAGAAGACGTCATCCCTGAGAGACTGCCAAAGTCTCTTGCAGAAGCAAACCGGACTGGATACTCGCGCTCCAAGTGTGTCGCAGAGCAAATCTGTGCCAAAGCTGCCGCTGAGGCTGGTCTTCCAGTAGCCATCGTCAGAATTGGTCAGATTGTTGGCGATACTATCAATGGCGTCTGGAATACATCTGAGGCGGTGCCATTGATGATCAGATCAGCTCAAACGATCGGAGCACTGCCGACTTTACAAGAGCGAGTCCGATGGCTGCCTGTCGATGATGTGGCACAGATTGTTATCGAGATTGGATCAAGCGATGCTATAGTAGCAAACGAGGCCTCTGTCTTCAACATCGTGAATCCTCATACTCTCAAGTGGACAGAAGACTTGCTCCCTCTGCTGAACCAGAATGGTCTGGCCTTCCAAGCCGTTCCACCTTCCGAGTGGCTCAAACGACTTGAAGAGTCTGCTCTTGACCCCAAGGGAAATCCGCCGAGAAAGTTGCTTGAGTACTTTAGAAGGCAATGCCAGCACCAGGGTAGTGATGATCGCGAGTGGGAGACAAGTAGGGCAGAAAAATGCTCCCCGACCTTCAATAGGTCGCGTGCACCGAGTCCGCAGTTGATTTCGGTCATACTTGACTATTTCACAAGGTCCTGGAAGATGTAGATATGTAATAGACACCGAATATCTTACGTCAGCTGTTTTTCATACCGGCTATGCTAAGTGTGCCCTTTGCGGAAGGTAAATGCAGACTTGAGCTGCAGAACCTTCTACACACTTTTTCGTGACGTAGTTGGCACAGGCTTTTTCTAAATAGTGCAATTAACCTGATCTATTACGTGTGATCGCAGCCAAAATGTTGACCTTATTGGCTGCAATCGATTACTAATTAAGGTCAGCTGGGCCTTGCCATCCTTTCGAAGGTAATGCAGCCCAAGAACCTCTCAGCTCATACATAACCTACACAAATACCAGCATTCAGATACCATGCTATCCAATAGACTCAGTGCACCACTGGGATTAATGCATGATAAGTGAGCTACATAACCAGAGATTTGGAATACGCATATGATTGTGCTACAGGCTAGACTATGAACTCCGACACCGCCGTTGCTTACCGTGGCGGAGCCATCTAATGACCCTACCCACTCCCGTTGGCATAGTGAGAGGCTTCAAATTGAATTGGCTTCGCGTCCCTGTCCGCTGGGTCCACGAACCAGCTATTATCCAGTTAGTGTCTGTCAAAAGAATGGTATTGTCTGGCAACAACTCACGTCAGGTCAGCTCCCTCAGGTCTCTCCTCCTCCAGGGCTGTGAAACCATTCGCCAGCCACGCAAATGCAAGATCGCTATCCTCACACAAACTCTTCCATTCAAAGTCCTCGTATCTTGGGTCCTCAAGAAGTGTAAAGAGCTGAATCCGTGAACCTGGATGCAATGAACGAAGCTCTCCATCCTTGGTTCCATTCTTATACGTGCTGGTACATCCTGATGCCCAAACCGTCCTCTTGAGGTAGGACAGGGCATGATTCTGATAAGCCCGAGCGACTCCTGGACGGAGACTGAACGATGAGTAGTTTTGTGTCTGGAGCTTCCTGATCATTCTTACGATGAAGCGGTTGCACATCTCGATGGACGTGACCAAGCTTCCGTGACCAAGGGGGCTGGCTGGGCCGAGAATAGTAAAGTAGTTAGGCATATCAGCAGCACAGACTGACAGATAAGACTCGGGGGCTTTGAGCCACACTTTTTGGAGGTTGAGGCCATCTTTTCCGAGGATGGGGAAGCGAGGTGCATAAGACAGCTCAAAGCCGGTGGCACAAATGATAGAGTCTACCTTTGACTCGCGCCCATCTTTTGTGAGAATGCCATCGGGTGTGAACTCGGCGATATCTCCCCATACTACCTCGCACTTGGGCGATACAAGGGCTTCCAGATATCCCAATCCGGGTGTTGGCCGACGGCATCTAATGTCGGTTAGTTGACAATATCATCATCCATGGCACTCTGCACATACCCAACAGCAAAGTCTGGCTCTAGACGTTTGGCCATGTCAGGCCTTGAGTCGAGTTTAGCCTTGAGGTTGTCAACGGCTGATTGGCGCGCCAGCTTCTGTTCAGGTGTATGATCCATGAAAAACTTGAAGCGCGCATTGACATCGTCCTCCATGCTCTTACGGAACTCGAGATATTTCTCAGGGTGTTTGGCCCACTCAGCCTTCTCTTCCTCAGTGAATTTGTAGTTGACGCCCTTTGGTCCAGCGAACTTCTCGCCGATACGCGAGGTAATCCACGTTGGACTGCGGATGTGAACGTAGATCTTCTTGACTTTATCTAGAATGGCCGGAAGGACCTGGATGCCGCTGCTGCCGTTACCGATCAGAGCAACAGTCTTGCCATCGATATCCTTTTCCCAGTCAGAGGGCCAGTTGGCAGTGTGAAACATGGTGCCACAGAAAGTCTCGCGTCCTGGGACATCACGGGGCCATTTCCAATTGTTGAAAAAGCCAGTTGCGTTTACAAAAACGTCGCATTCATCAATAAAATCGTCGTTAGTTTCTCCGTCTGTGATACCTGGGCTGGAGATGGCAACATCCCGCCCATCGGTCTTTTTGATATGAAGTTGCCAGACCTGTCTTTCGTCAATCCACTTGGCCTCAACCACTTTGTGTGACAGCTTGAAGTATGAGCGCAAGTCGTGTTGATCAGCGCAGTCCTCAAAGTACTGCTTGATCTCTGGTGCGGGCGCGTAGAAATGCGACCAGTGGGGATTGGGTGCCCAAGTATACTGGTAGCTGTGAGCTGGAACATCGCAGGCGCATCTTTCAGCAGTCAGCATATCATCGTTTCAAGTGGTTCGAAAACACCGCAAATGCTCAACATACCCAGGATATCTACTTTCATGCCAGGTTCCACCTATGCCGGCATTCTTCTCATAAATGGTGAGATCCACGCCAGGGAGCTTGCCAACGCGCACCGCACGAGCAAGATCAACTCCTCCAAAGCCCGCTCCGACAGCAATTACCTTGACCTTGCGAGGAGTGAGCATGGGTACCTTGGATAGGGCGTAAGCAAGATCATCGCGACCCTGGTAGTCCTCAGTCGCTCCCGGCAGGGTGGTCGAGGTAACAACTTCATTGAAGAACTTGGTCGCCCGGGCTTGGGGAGATAGTGAATAGTCCATCCTAGACAGAAATTGCTCTTACGTTATTTGAGTTTTCAGTATAGACCCTAATCTAATCTCATGGGGAAGTGGCTACTATATTCTAGGATCGATTGCACTATCTTGAACATTGCTTCTGGCAAAGACATAAGTTGCAGCCGACATCTATCTCTCATCATTTCCGAGGATAACAAAAAGCGGAAAGCAAATGGTATTTCCGCGTAAAAATGGAATGCAGCTCGGAAATATAGCGAATTTCCACCAATGAGAAGGGGTTGGCTATTAAAAGTATATCTCTATATTTATTACATTATAGTAAAACAATTTATAAAATAATTACTATTAAGTAGGAAATAATAAAAAATTAAATATCGTCTTAATATTATATACTTGAGTTAAAATTTTAATGTAAATTATAAAAATAAATTATTAAACGGTAAGGAATTTATTAAAATATATTAAGTTCTTCTTATTTAAGTCTCTACTAAATTGCCCTCTAGACCCCCTTTTACTGCTATAATTGCACTTACTACATAATCAATATTCTTTAAGTTTACTACTGCAGTTAGTATATACGTTTAACAATGGAGCCAAGTCACTTACATCCCGCCATTGATATTCTGCCTGATGATGAGAGGTAAACATGGTACTCATTCCTCAAGCAAAGCACCTGCCAGGGGTGAAGACCTGTATATGAAAACATGCCGCTCTGCAAAACGATTAGGTCACAGAATTGCAAAACAGATAAAGTTCGTGCTTAATTACCTGTTTGATGATATGTTCATAGTCACCGCTTTCTGCGGAAGCGCTCAGGCCATCATGAAGTGCTGAGCGGACCTGTCCCAGTCTTTTGCTCATGGATAAAACATCACTGAGCCATTGAGACTTAAGCTCTGGGTCACCGAGGATGGTTTTCACAATTTTACAGCCCGTTCGTGGTGGAGTCGAGTATTCGGTACGAATAATGAATCGAAGCTGCTGAAGGATGTTGGACTGGATGGCGGTATCCTTGCTGTTCGTGATGAAATGGAAAGCTCCTGTTCTCTGTCCGTAGAGTCCGAAGTTCTTCGAGAAGGACTGCGCCACACAGAAAGTCAGGGGAAGTTCCAGACTGGCAAAGTATCGAAGTGGCCAAGCATCTTTCTCTGGGTTCCCTGTGGCAAAGCCTTGGTATGCATTATCAAAGAATGGGAAGATGCCTTTTCGCTGACAAATCTCAGCTACAACCTTCCATTGTTCTTGGCTAAGATCGAGGCCAGTCGGGTTATGAGCACAGACTTGAAGCATGATCACATCTCCAGTTTGAGCTTGAGACTCGAGAGTGTCGATCATTCCTTGGAAGTTGAGGAGTCGCGTTGCTGGATCATAGTATGGATACTTCTTGCACCTTACCCCCATTCTTTCAAACATTAGAATATGGGGAACCCAGGTCGGATCAGAGACCCAGACGCTTCCCGGGTTAAGAAATCGAGACAGAAAAGCAGCACCAATGTGGATGGCCCCAGATCCGGAGATGGATTGGACCGAGACTATTCGCTGCAACAGCTCAGACTGGTCACCTTGACCGAATAGAAGGTTTTGAGCCAGTCTGAGATAAGTGGCATCTCCCTCGATAGGGAGATACTCATGCTTCCCCAAGTCGTTTTGAGACAGGAGACGACGTTCTGCCTCCAGTACTGAAGGCAATGGACACGGGTTCCCGTCATCGGAACGGTAGGCCCCGATTAGCAGATCGACCTTTTGCGGGTGTGGGTCGAGGCGATAGTCTGCTGCCAGGGAGAATATCTCATCGGCAACAATGTTTGGCACTGCGCTCAACCATGATGGCGTGGCGTCCTTGGAAGTGGTATCCTCGAGAGTGGGCATTTCAACAATCAGCGACTGTAAAGATGCTGGTGTATAATAGTTGCAAGTCTTTGATATATGCTTTTGAAATGATTGTGACAAGGTGTCAAAGTGCCTCTATGGCGCAGTGATCACTTTTCCTTTTTTAGTCTGAGTGAGTCAGTACTAAACCCACGAGTGGCGGAACTATGGAAAAGCGGAATGGCGGAATTTGTACTGAAATAAAAACAGCGGAAACAGACACATTCGCCTTCTGTGGAGTCTCTTTGGTGGAGCCTCATGATAGATGCGATGTCAAATTCCGACTTGAATACTGTACGCCATAAATTGGGCAAGGAGGACAAAAGCATTCAAGGTAACCAGTATTCAATTGAAAGTCTGTGGTGTAAACAATTCCAGCTACTCACAATCATGGCCCAGCCTCAAATCCCCGTTGGCGAATATCTATTCCGTCGCATCGCCTCGCTCGGTATCCGACATATTTTTGGCGTACCTGGCGATTTCAACCGTATGAGCTCAGATAATAGTAATCCTTATGTATCCAAGACTAATCTTATCTCATAGTGACGATTCTTGATCATGTCTATGCTGTACCCGAACTAGAGTGGCTCGGCTGCTGCAATGAACTCAATGCTGCATACGCAACAGATGGGTATGCTCGCATCAGGGAACTTCCAGGTGTCCTCCTCACCACGTACGGAGTCGGCGAGCTGTCAGCCATGAACGGAGTTGCTGGAGCTTACGCTGAGCATGCCGGGATGATTCACATTGTCGGCATGACTAGTCGGCAAGGTATGCTTGTTGCAACTGAGACATTGCGGACACCACTGACATAAATAGTCCAGAAAAAACGACCGCTGATTCATCATACATTTGAGCCAAATATGGATCACACCATCTACATGCAAATGAGTGCCCCCATCAGAAAGTCACATGCATTTCTAGTCGATGAGGAAACGTTGACGGCTGATATTGACCGAGCAATCGAGGATTGTGTCAAGAGCCGCCTTCCTGTGTACATCTTTATTCCTATGGATGTTCCTTCACTTCCAGTTCCTCTCTCTGCTCTTGACAGACCGTTGGATTTGGAAATCAAGAACGATGAAGAAATTGAGTCTGAGATCCTCGATAAAATACTTAACGCTGTCAGTCATGCTAAGAACCCGTCTATTCTTGCTGATGTTCTCACAATCCGTCACGGCGGGAGGGAGCTTGTCCGCGAGCTGGCTGATCTAACTCGATTTCCGACCTTTTCATGCCCATTGTCGAAAGGAATCATCGATGAGGACAAACCCTACTATATGGGCGTTTACAGTGCAAATGGTACAGTTACCTCTCTGACTTTTATAAGTAGTCTTGCATATTGACACTTCATAGTGTCATTTCCTGGCGTACAGGAAGCTCTTGAAACTTCTGACCTGATCATCAACACTGGAACTCTGCAAACTGACTCCAATACTGGTGGATTTACACGCAAGATTCCGGAGGAAAAGGTCATCCTTCTTGAACACGATAAATGTGTTATACTTGGCGAAGAGTTCCCCAAAATCCACTTTCTCCCTGTTTTGCGTCGACTTATCGAGGTTCTCAAGGCCAAAGCAGCCCACTTCAACCTTCCAGTTCCACTTCCAGCTACTAGGATCAATGTTAGTCTCCCATGTAATATCTTAATCATTCCACTGACGACAACAGCCACCTCAACTCCGATCTGACCGTTCGGGACAGCTGATACAAGACTTCGTCTGGCAGAGAATTGGCAAGTTCCTACAACCAGACGACATAATCGTCACCGACTGTGGAACAGGCCAATTTGGAATGTTTGATGCCACGTTTCCCCAACGGTCCAGGGCCATTACATCGACGTTCTGGTCGGCCATTGGTTTCTCGGTCGGGGCGTGCCTTGGAGCTTGTGTTGCCGCCCGCGAGATGAAGCACCCTGGTCGGGTAATTCTCATTGTCGGTGATGGTTCTTTACAGATATCCGTCCAAGACATCGGAACTTGCATTCGTTTTGGTTTCAAGCCCATCATTTTTGTTGTAAACAACAACGGCTACTCAATTGAAAGATCCATCCGTGGCGCTGAGCTGAGCTACAATGACATCAACTCCAATTGGGATCACCAGCAGCTGCTTAGCTTCTTTGGGGCCAGACCTGACACTGGTATTGGGAGCTTCAGCACTCAATGCCATACAGTAGAAGAGCTTGATAGTGTTCTTAACAAAGAGGTACTCAAGAAGGCTGAAGATATCAGCGTAAGTGGATCTGAGAGCTCTCTTGTAACTGTGGCACTGACATGTTATGTTTTAGCTTATCGAGCTGTTCTTCAGCCCGTTCGACTACCCCTGGCGCTTGGCTACTCAAGTCAGCAATACCCTTGGCAGACCTCGTCAGTATAATTATGACTACCGTTTCATTTCCTAAGGCTAACAATCATCAGTGGAAAAGCAAGACAAATTTAGCTAAGAGTTGAAGGATCTTACAGTAGACAGCTAAATAGAGATTTAAAAATTATACCTAGCTTGGCTAATGTCTGTGTCTATATGATTCTATTGAACAGCCATTATACTAGGTTATTCACCTTCTTTCTACATCACGTGGATGTTGCTCGAATTTTCTTGTATTACAGCCCTCAAGGCGACAGTGGCGCGATTTGGAAAATTGGTATAGGTCGGGGCACAAGTGATAATAATTCCGAATCGTGATATTGCGCGCAGGAACGGATTGTGACTATATTCCGGTCCGGAAGGCTGTTCCGATATCCACAGAGCTCCACCCAGAACTGCATTCCGCCTACCCACCAATTCCGCATCGGGGCTACGTCAACAACACAAAATAAATATTTTTCGTGGAATTGAGACATTTATGAAAGTTATTACCACAATAGAAACGCTCGCATCAACTTCGCCATGTCTGGAAAAACGGTCCTACTTACAGGCGGCAGTGGGTTTGTTGGATCACATTGCCTTGATCTTCTGCTTCAAGAAGGGTGAGTTCCATGACCATCTCAGTACTCAGTTTGCTGACATAACCAAGCTATGAGGTCGTTGCAACGGTGCGATCTGAGAAGAAAGGGCAGGATATCCTCGCTGCCTTTCCTGCAGCCAGGTCGCGACTCTCATATGCCATTGTCGAGGACATTGCCCGTGAAAATGCTTTCGACAAGGCGGTAAAAACCGCCGAATTTGATGCAGTACTGCACGTAGCCAGCCCATTTCACTACAAGCCAGTAGATATACAGAAGGATCTTATTAACCCTGCAGTCAACGGCACTTCGAATATCCTCAAGGCAGTCAGCGATTACGCCCCAACTGTCAAGCGCGTCGTCATCACATCATCGTTCTCAGCGGTGGTTAACATTAAACACCCTGAGAAGATGTATCGAGAGCATCACTTCAACCCGATAACTCTGGAAGAAGCATATGAGGATGGCGTTCAGGCCTACAGGGCTAGCAAGACATTTGCCGAGCGCGCTGCTTGGGACTTTATGCAAGCCAAGAAGCCTGGTTTCTCTCTCACCACTATGAACCCACCTCTGATTCTCGGACCACCAGCCCCTTGGCTCGCATCCATGGACTCGATAAATACTTCCAATGAACGTTTGAGAGATCTGTGCCAGGGAAAATGGAAAGATGAATTGCCTCCAACAGCCTCATGGTACTGGGTTGACGTTAGAGATGTTGCTCTCGCTCACGTTCGAGCATTGGAGAAGTCGAATGCTGGAGGAAGGCGGTTTTTCTTGATGCAAGGCAGAATGAGTAATGCTCAGATTGCTCAGGTGGCGGTAGATCATTATCCTGATCTCAAGGATAAGATCCCCAAGGTTTTGGTGGATGATACACCTGCCAATCTCTGGGAGGTTGATACAGTGCCATCGAAGGACATTCTAAGACTCGAGTATCGGGATCTGGAAACCTGCATAGTTGATTCGCTGAAGCTCTTGATAGATTAATAGTTGCTTAGGAGTGCAGTTGTAGTTTCACTACAATGTCCACAATGAAACTATACCAATCCTTCCCATCGGTTACAGGTCTGTCGAATATGACTTACCACTCGACATAGAGTCCGTGAAGCCGCCCGACACTGCTCACCATAGTCCTACAATCAGTACAACCCCAGCCATCAAAGCAACTATTACAGGACCTTTCACACGAGAACCTGCAGAATCATCCACAGCTTCCGGCTTATCATCTTTCCCCTCTTCTCCTTTCTCTCTGTTTTCGTCTTTATCCTCATTTACAGCAAAAGTCGCAGTAATCTTGGCTTTCAGAGTGCTGCATGCATCCGGTCCAACTGGCACAAGATCAGTGATGGCAGGGTCATCACTACACGCCTCCCATACTATGCGGTATTCGGAGACATGCTCTACCTGCCAGCTCGTCCATTCAGAAGCCCATTCCGAGAATTCCTCGGCTGACGATCCAGTAATGACAGGAAGCTTGCAAGGGTCTTGGGTATTTGAGGGCAAAAGATACACCTAGCTCAGACATGTCGATGGGAGGTCCAAGGACGCCCGTTATTAACAGGGAGTTAATGAGCGCCCAGCATGATGGTGTCGTGAGAGATGGACGTGAAATAGTGAAAGTTGATGTTGATGTTGGAGTTGGAGTCTGGGCAGCAGCATAGGCGCTGACAACGCTGAGAAGGATGATGACATAGGTCCACATATTTGGTAGTATATTTGTTACTGTTGTGGTTGAGAAGATAATGACATCTTGACTTTAAGTGGCTTCCGCAGCACCTTTTTATCTTTCTTACACGGATTTTGGAAACGAAAATGACTTCCAGAACAAGGGAGTTGATTGAATGTTTGTAATTCCATGTATTTTGGACTTGGCAAACAGGCGCAATGTGCTGGGCCTTATCTAACAAGGTGCATGCATTGGTTGTTATATCGTAGCCTAAACCTTGGAAGGCAACTGACTCAATTTCTGCTCATTCTAAGTCACCATGTTGCGATAGATTCTCGTAAACAATAGGCAAGTAAGGCCAACAATCCAACACTGTGTAGCAGTCCATCCTGGAGGCTGGCCTTTAATGAGAGTAGGCATCAGGCTTCGCCTCATTATGTGCTTTATTAGAATTCCGTATTACGCCATACTAATAGGAGGAGTGGTAATGACATAAATGTTATTTGTATGGTCGATGAGAAAGGCCAACTCTAATGGTTGGCAGTTATCTGCATTTCGACGCGTTGCTAACACGACAACGGCAAATTAATTAAGTTACCTACTTATTTGTAGCTTCCAGGGTCCGACCAGCACAAGGATGCAGTTCCACGACTACTTACAATCAACGACTTACTTGAAGTCAGCTTGTTTGCACTTATATAACGCTGACAGTAAGCCAATTCGCTTGTTACTAACGAGCCACGTAAGGATAGGATGCACAGGCCTAGCCTTAAAGCCTTTAGAAAGTGTGTCTTTGCAAACAATTAAGGACGCGATTTCATAAAAGCTAAGATGAAACTCTTTTTGCCGGAGGGCATTATTGCTAACTGGATGATATTTATCCCCTCTCTTTGCTATATTTTAAGTCTGCCTCTTCTTATTGAAGCCTGCTTGGTCAGCGGCAGAAATTAATATATAGTATCTTCTGAAGGCGGGCTTTGCATGCATCTTACATGCTTCTCTGGCGACATTTCTTTCCTAACCCATAATGGCCCTATACGTAGGCTCATTTCGTTCCTTTAGATTTGATATAAAGTGCATGGGTTTCTCTCGTAATGACCAGGTTTGCATCACACCGCCCTGTGACTGCTTATCCACAAATACATCGGCTGCAGCCGCCTTAAAGATGAAAGAAATTGATTTATAAATTGACTCGAGGCATTCCGAGGACCTGTATGCTAATGATTAGCAAACTATATGCGCAGAGCTGCCCATCAGGCTCTTACACGACCTTGCAAGACAGTAGCATGCTCATATATACGCTGCATGTCGATAATCTCCCCAAGCTCGATTGATGGCTACTCTAGCATGGCCCTAGAGAAGAACAAGCATCCTCACCAAAGGCCTCGACGATGCGGTGGCCACACGCGAAGAAGTTCTTCCAGGCAGAAATGTGCTGCAAGGCATAGATTTCATCGCTGAAGCTGCCCCTAGTGGGATACCGAGCTGGATCCTTATGGCATCGACCCTTTCTTAAAGCTCATCTTGTATAGAAAATGGCGTGGTACACCGCCACCGACAGAAGAGAGATTTTGCTTTGCCAGCTTTGCGATGCCAGACCATGTGTTGGCGAATATCGCAGGATTGTCATAGCTCGAGATAGATCTTGTCAAGGATTTCGCGGGGCCGATGGGTAACAAACGCAGGCTGATGCTCGGGATCTGGTAGTTTGGTAGCCATTTCAGCATTCTTCTTTATTGAATGATATTGAAGTCAAGGCTCTAGCTTTGTTTTAACCCCACCCCGTTCGGGGAGAATGCGCTATATTTAGGAATTGTTCCTTTTCTTAATCCTACCCCTCTCCACTGAAAAGACAAGGATGCTTGACTAATACAGTCTGTATGCGGGTGGTATCAGCTGGGGTGTTTTCTGTCTCAGTGGGGGTTATCTAGGGGATGTCAGCAGTCCTCATGCAAGTCTCCCAAAGCAGCGCGTGTCTTACATCCAAGCCTTAGCCATTAGGTATATAACGATGGACTCTTCAGATACTCACACATCTCTGCGTTCATTCTTCCCTTGACACATTTATTTCAAGTCGCATCACAAAGGAAAAAAAAGTGAACCCTGCAACAACAACGATCATGGACTCTGAGCATGATCCATTGCTGTCTACGCACCAGCCTTTGCCGACAGAAGGAAAAAAGGAATCGAAGACAAAGCTCACGCCATTTGTTCTCACGATCACTTTCGTATCTGGCCTCAGCAGCATGCTTTCTGGCTGTACGTTTTATTATGGTACCCATCTGATGTTATACTGACCCAGATGCCAGATGAGACTGGCGTCACCTCCGCAGCCCTTGTGTCTATTGGGTCTTCACTGTCTGGCCGTGATCTCACGTCCATAGACAAAGCGATGATAACCTCAGCCACAGCCTTTTGTGCTCTTTTCACGGCCCCCTTTGTATCACTGCTCGCCGATAAGTTAGGCCGTAAGCGACTAATGCTTTATGCCGATGTGCTCTTTATCACGGCCTCGGTATTTCTAGCGTTCTGCAAGACCATCACTTTTGCTATCATAGGGCGATGCATAATCGGTATGGCAGTGGCATTTTCAAGCGTGGTAGTCCCTCTGTATATAGCAGAGATCGCTCCAGCGTCACGCCGAGGGATGCTGATCACGGCAACGATTCTCTTGACCACGCTAGGACAGATTGTGGGATTCATGACCGCGAGCATGTTTGCAGCCTGGGGCTTGAAAGCTACCGGTTGGCGGTGGACATTCGCCCTAGGAGTAGTCCCAGCGAGCACCCAGGGTCTTCTTATCAGCACCATGCCCGACACTCCTCGCTGGCTAGTCATGGTAGGCCGTATTACTGAGGCCAGGCGTGTATTACACAGGATCTACGGCAACGACGCTGCTTCTGAAAGTCTTACGGATGCATTGATCGACAACATCCAGGCGGATGTTGGAGAGTTGCGAACAGCGCGTCAATCAAGACGACAGGCTGGACAAGGACGGTTCCAGTTTCTAGATCCATGGAAAGAACTTCTCAGCCAACATCGCTATCGTCGAGGACTGACCATCGCAATCTTACTCATGGTGCTTCAACAATTCTGTGGCTTTGTGAGTACCCCTTGGGGATACCGCACCCGGCGCCTGTGACTAACCTCTATTTACAGACTTCACTCATGTACTTTTCAGCTACAATCTTCGAGTTAGTGGGCTTCAAAAATCCAACTTTGGCTTCGGTAGCTATCGCCTCAACAAACTTCACCTTTACTGCCATCTCCCTCGTCCTTATTGATAGAGTTGGTAGACGACGGATGCTTCTTCGGTCCCTCCCGTTCATGATTCTCGGATTGCTCCTGGCGGCGACTGGATTTCATTCTTTGTCAACCGGGGTATCACCCAGGTTACCCCAACAGCCAGATCACGGTGGCGGTGCAATCATCGTGCTGACAAGTATTATTCTGTTTGTGGCTTCATTCGCCTTAGGCCTAGGGAACGTCCCGTCGATGCAGAGTGAACTGTATCCGCTAGCAGTTCGGTCTTTGGGCAGCGGTGTAGCTATGGCAACTGCATGGAGTAGCAACTTCATCATTGGCCTGACATTTCTGCCGTTGACTGATGCCTTGACCCCAACCTGGACAATGGTGATGTACGCAGGATTATGCGTCGTTGGATACTACCTCATTTACCTCATGTACCCAGAAACGGCGGGTTTAAGTATAGAAGAAGCGGCGGAGCTTCTCGAACACGGGTGGACAGTCAAGTAGCTCTAAGCATCAAAGTACATCTACTTGGCTCCTTTCATGGACTGGTGTTGGCTAAGGCTTGTCGCCGCTAGTTGTTTTTATCGGCTATCTACTTGAATGTCTGGGTTTGGTACGATTTTATAGCTGGTTAGGACGGGATATCTATTGCGAGTCTGTGTGCTCAGTTTGACTTGTGTGTGTATTTGTTAATTTACTCATGCGAAATATTCTACTCGGGAAGCTTATTTAGCTTATGGCAATGCTGCACTTGAGGACGTGATGAATACACTAAATTATCAAGAATATAAAATATCTATATTATTTGATTATGCAAAATAAGAGCTAGGCTAAGATGAAACTTAATAATAAAAAAATAAACAAAACACCCTCAGGGTCTTTAGTGCCTTGTTGGAGTACCCATTGGTTTAAAACCTTCTAAATCTTCCCCACCACTGACTCAACGATGCATGTACCTTGGACTTGGCAGCGCAACATCTAAACATATGTCATAGTGTTTGATTACAGGCAATAGGGAATACAGTTGAGCTAATATAAAATCGCAAGGCTCTCGACGGCTCACGAGATCTGGGATCTATAGTTTTCTGCTTCTTGGAAGCCGTGTAACAGTAATAGTCAGAGAACCACCGAGCAGAATCAGGATGACCCAGACAAGATAGCCGTCCATGATCTGATCACGGACACCGACTGCAAAGATTATTGTACTAATGGCGGGGACCACAGCTCGAACAAGACTAGAAGCTGATTCCGCAATTGCATTGAGAGTCCCCAATGTGCGCGGGCTAGGCGCTACTTCTTGAAGTCCCAGCTGCACTGCCGTAATGACCATGAAGACACCAGGTCCCAGGAGTGCCATTGCGCCCAACACAGCTTGATAAGACATAAAGGCCACTGGGCTTCCATTGCGAAGAAATGCGTTCATTACGATGTAGCCGGCAAAGAAGAGGGGAAATGCAACGACACCGGAGAAGATGATACCTCGGGTACCAAATCGCCGGTGTAGAGGAGGGAATAGAAGCAAGAGCCAGACAGCCTCGGCGGCACCTTGCACCGCCATGTATATGGCAATCTGGTGGGCCGAGAACCCCATTCCACCATAACGTACTCCTGTATACAGAGTAAGACTCCCGACAGCCATGAAGGCAGACCCAATCAACATAACGTGGACGAAGGTGCAGAGCATGGCGCTAACGCCTGGGGCCTTGACCAGATCCCATATGAAAGCCCAGTCAAGACCTGATGGAGTGACAGGATCGTCAGCATACGAAATAGACTCCCTTTCCAGTCTCGTCTCATCGACGCAGAATGCGATGATGACTGCACTCGTGGCACTCATGGCTCCCAAGACTATCCCCGGCAATGCAAATGGAAACGTTTCAAACAACTCCATACCCTTACATAGCGCTGGATATTGGCTCACCGGGTTAGCGAGCGCGCCGCCGATGAGAGGTCCAAGGAATAGTGCCAAATTGCTCGCTAAGGAATACCAGCTGAATGCCTGAGTCCTAGACTCTCTGGTTGCGCAGCGCTCTGCTATCATCGCCCGTATGACAACATTACCCCCGGATACCAGTCCCGTAAAGCACCGGAACAATGTCATTGTCCACAAAGAGGAAGCAAACCCAAAGAGAACAGACCCGGCTGCCGTACCTAGAAGACTCCATACAAGCATCGTTTTACCGCCAACTCGGTCTGCCATAGAGCCCCAAAATACCAAGACCAAAGCCTGCATGGCAGAGAAAAGAGACTCAATCAGGCCGCTATAGAAGCCGATTTCAGCCTCTGGCAGGCTCCCGTTTCGCTCCACCATCTGGGCAATGTATGGAAAGATGGAGAAGAAGGCCATCGGTTCCATGAGGCGTGCGAAACATAGCAGTAAAATCTGGAATTTGGGGCTAGAAAGGCGTTGATTCGGCTCTGCATGACTGGAGGACCTTTGCGAAGATTTCGGCAAGTTGCAGATATATGAATGTGACGGGTTACGAGATTTGGAGAGGAGTGGAGTTGTAGGATCTATTTTTGTGTGCCGTGACATGATGCAAACAATTTTCGCGAGAATTGGATATTCCGTCTGCTGGTGTTGTTCTTTTGGATCGATTGAGGAATAGGTTGGTTGGATGCTTACACGAAGAAAAATCTAAGCAAAGAGAAGGATGAAATATGTCATGAACAAAAATGATTTCGTTTTTAATTTTCTTTTTATGTAGCACACCGCCTAAATCCAGTGCCACTTCGGAGGACTAAAGTTGTGTAAAATTCTATCCGTGAGCCTCTAGTTCCAGTCTCGGGCGCCTTTTGAAGGGAGACTGGCACAGTTACTAGCAGCGGGAGCACGTCTCCCGAACCAACTGTGTTTGCAATGAGGCTCAAAGATCCAAGACAAATACATAGCCAAAAAGTGAGATGTTGAGATTCACAGGTCCACTTGGCTATACCTCCCCCAGCAATGCCACTGCTGATCTCCTACGCCACCGCCCGAACGAGATCTTGGAGCCTGGGATGCTTGAGCAAATGCCTCACAGTCAGCTCAACACCCGCCTTGCGAGCCAGCCCAACCAATTTCATGGCAGTGATGGAATTGCCGCCGATCTTGAAAAAGCTGTCGCTCGGCGCAATGGTGGCTGGTTCAATGCCCAGGACCTCTCCCCAAATGTCGCGTATCTGGCCCTCGGCTTCCGAGACAGGCTGCGTGGCTGGCTCTCGCCCTGCCGCCTGGCTTGCCATGATCGCCCGGAGCGCTCGGCGATCGACCTTGCCATTGTCGTTTAGGGGGATCTTGTCTAGAACCGCAATTGCCCTTGGGACCATGTAGGCTGGGAGCCGGGTCCGCAAGATCTGGTCTAGTTCTTTTTGGATCTCCTGTCTCACCTGACGCAGTAGTGGTTGGCTGCAGAGAGCGGCAATCTCTCGATCTCGGTGATCAGTGGGGAACCGAAACATGACCCGGCTCTCTCCCTTGGCTGGCTGGTGCTTGTGAAAGATGGCGTCGATGCCACCGCGCTGCGAGAATTGCCGAGCCCAGCTGAGGTCCACACGACAGCCCGCCTGCTCAGCTAATTCCACTAGATCAAGAGCCGACATGGAAGCTTGCTTTTGGGAAGACTTTCGAGACATAGAAAGCCAATCCGCATCATCATCTCTGGCTTCTCTCCCTTGATCGAGATGGCACGAAATAATATGGCTCGTGAAACTTGATTTGCTGTGCCGAATATTGCTGACGCCAATGCATGACGAAGTGGCGATTCCACGGCGCACGAGGGTAAGCAATGATTCCCGGCCAAGATTCTCAGCCTGGAAGTCGATCCACTGAATTCCGTCAACCTCGTGAATTGTCCGACTGGGCTGGCCTTCAGCCTTGACGTGGATGACGGCTTCGTACCGATAGGTGCTCAGTTCATTGGATGCACGCATCCGCTTCGGCAGAATCTCGACGTGTTCGATCTTGCCCACCTCACCCGGTAGCTTGGTAAAAAAACCTGGATCGACCAGCAGCTCTGCTTCAGCTTGTCTCATGTCGTCCATTACACGACGAAACTCGTGCTTGGTGGCTTTTCCGCCTGTGACGTGGCATGCCCTTGCCGCCAAAAACTCGTCGTGAAGGGCCAATGAGCGGATGTCACCCAGGAAAATCGTTTTGACTCCCTTCAGCTGGACTAGCTCCTGTATTGTGCTGAGTAGGTACGCTTGGTCGGGAAAATACTGTATGACCGAGTTCAAGACCACGAGGCTGGGAGACAGGGTATGACTAAACCGCACAAGCTCGGCCGCAGTGCCCTTCAACATGGTGACTTTGCCTGCTGCTGATGGCACTGATTTGGCGGCCTCGGAGACGAACTCTACTGCCCGTCCTGAAGGTTCAAGGCCAGTATAGCTCTCAAGACCGTCAAGGAGATTGAACAGAATCATTCCAGAGCCTGTTCCAATCTCAAGAACATGGCCAGATGGCTTTCCATTGCGAATTGACGCGATGGTATCGTCCAACCACTCATTCATCTCCCCTTTGTCAATATCGCTCCCATCATACATAGATGTCCAACCTTGAAAGTCGCGTCCGATGGACTCGGGCTTCATTGATACGAGACTCAGGTAGTCGTCGTTGAACCGCTGTTCCCATCCGTCTGTATGTTGCATGTTTCTGTCACTGCCACTCTTTTCTCGCCGCGGCGATACAGTCTGACTGTCATGCTGGAGTGTAAGAAATCCAGCAATCCACGGATCTTGATTCTCTTCGTTTATCAAGATGACAACGGCATCTTTTACCTGCTCATGGCTGCGGATGGCGTGTTCGATCTCCCCAAGCTCAACACGTTGGCCTCGGATCTTGACCTGTTCGTCTTTGCGGCTGATGAAAAGTAAACTACCATCTGCAGTGTATTTCACTAGATCGCCGGTCTTGTAAAGACGTCCACTGCGGCCTGGGTACTTGGAAGAACCCTGCGATAACCATTTAGGGTTTTCAATGAAAGCCATTGCAGTCTTTTCGGCATCATTCAAATACCCCAAGCCTAGGAGGGGACCTTCAAGCAGAAGTTCACCAACACTCCCCAGCGAGACCAGAGAATCATGATCATCGGCCTGTGCGATCCATGTATTCAGCCCGATTCCTTTGCCCATTGATGTAGCTTCCACAGGGCTTGCTGGAGAGGAATTGATTGTACTGTTGGGCGTGCATTCACAAGGCCCATACAAGCTCACGATCCGTACCTTTTCCCACCAAGGGATCACGTCCTCGGCGCGCAGTGCCTCACCACCAAATATGATCTGCTCGAGACCAGGCACCTGCTCTGGACTCAGAATTCGAGATACAGAAGGCGTCAGATCAATGGTATTGGCTTTGAGTGATGCAATGCTCGCCGCCAACCTGTTCTGCCGATCCAGCTCATTTGGAACGCAGAGGCACCCGCCGACTGACAGTGTAGCAAATGTGTTGCAAACAAACACATCGAAGCTGTATGAGCAAAAGTCGTACATCCTTGTGTTGGAAGTGATTTTGAGGCTGCTCT